CCAGTTAGAATGGCTGTCATCAAAAAGACAAGAAATAACAGATGCTGGTGAAGGTACAAGGAAAAGGGAACTCTTATACACTGTTGGTAGGAATGTGAATTAGTATAGCCACTATGGAAAACAGTATGGAGTTTTCTCAGAAAACTAAAAGTGGATCTACTATACAACCTAGCAATGCCACTAGTGGGTTATTTCTCCACAGGAAAGAAAATCAGTATGTCAAAGCAAAACCTGCACCTCCGTGTTTACTGCAGCTCTGTTCACAATAGCAAAAATATGGAATCAGCCTAAATGTCTATCAGCAGATGAGTGGATAAAGAAAATGTGGAGTATATGGAATACTATTCCGCTGTAGAAAGAATGGAATCCTATCACAGCAACGTGGATGAGGCTGGAGGATATTATGTTGAATGAAGTAAGTCAGGCACAGAAAGATAAATACTATGTTACTATTCACATAGAAGGAAAGAGCAGAATAAAGGTCATTAGAGGATGGGAAGTGGGGATAGGGAGAAGTTGGGTAACAGATACAAAGTTACAGATAGTAGATGGGAAGGATAAATTCTAGCTTTCAATAGCACTGTAGGCCCAGTACTGGTCTGTGGCCTTTTAGGAACTGGGCCACACAACACCGCCTGAGCTCTGCCTCCCCCCACGCCCCACCCCTGGTCCGTAGAAAAATTGTCTTCCATGAAACTTAGGAACCGGGGGCTGCACAGCAGGAGGTGAGCAATGGGCAAGCAAGTGAAGTTTCATCTTTATTTATAGCCGCTCCCCACCGCCTAAGCTCCGCTATCTCCCCCTCCACCCCCCGGCCCCCACCAATCCATGGAATAATTGTCTTCCATGAAACCAGTCCCTGGTGCCAAAAAGGTTGGGGACTACTGAGGTAATGGATGTGCTAACTGCCCTGCTTTGATCATCGCACATTGTGTACATGTATTCAGATGTCACTCTGCATCCCATAAATATGTATAATTACGTTGTTAACTGAAAATAAAAGGGGGGAAAAAAGAAGATGTACAGGTGAAGAGGGAACTCAGTTATGTCTCTGAATGTTCTAGACAGAGAGGATGTGATGCCATTTAGTTGAAGAGAAGCAGGCTGTTGTCAAGGCTGAGAGCCTGGCCTTGAGTCAGGCAGAGTGGGGCTCTGCCGGGACTTAGCCATTCATCTACTATGATTAGCCAAGTTCGTAAACTCTCTGAGCCTTGGATCTTTTCACCCTTAAAATTGGTAATAATGATGCCAATAATGTTTTACAAGATAAGTTCTAAATAATGTGTATTGGCCGGGTGCAGTGGCTCACACCTGTAATCCTAGCACTCTGGAAGTCTGAGATGGAAGGATTGTTTGAGGTCAGGAGTTCAAGACCAGCCTGAGCAAGAGCAAGACCCCGTTTCTACTAAAAAAAATAGAAAAAATTAGTCAGGCATGGTGGAACATGCCTATAGTCCCAGCTACTTGGGAGGCTGAGGCAGGAGGGTCACTTGAGAGCAAGAGTTTGAGGTTGCTGTGAGCTAGGGTGATGCCACAGCACTCTAGCCTGGACAACAGAGCAAGACTCTGTCTCAAAAATAAATAAATAAATGTATGTATATATGTATGTGTATAAAATTCCCGACTCCTAAGTTTTCGGTCAAGTACATAATTATAAATGGTGACTCTAGAAAATGCAGGAAGTAGAGGAGAACATCTGAATACATGCTGATTGTGATTTTAGGAATTTTTTTTTAAAATGTGTGTGTGCGTGTATGTGTATATATGTATACATACACACATATACATATATATGTAGGTGTAGGTAAATGATTTTCCAGGTCATTTTTTTCCATTTATTTTTTATTTGTATGTATTCGTGGGGTACAAGTGCAGTTTTGCTACACTGATATTTTGCACTGTGGGGAAGTCAGGGCTTTCAGTGCATAAGTCACTGAAATAACATACATTGTACCCACCAAGCAACCTCCCGTCCTACCCCCATGGTGAGCCTCCTGAGTCCACCACTTACTAATCTTGCCTCCCCACTCCTTTTTGTGTTAAATTTGTTTTGTTTCAGCTTTCTTTGTCCTACTAGTATTGGTTTTTTCCTGACTGAGCCAATATTCAGATTTATTTTGTTTTTTAGAGACAGTGTCTCACTCTGTCACCCAGGCTGGAGTCCAGTGGTACAGTCATAGTCCCAAACTCTTGGGCCCAAGTGATCCCCCCACCTCAACCTCCCAAGTAGTCGGGACTACAAGCACACACCACTGTGCCCAGCTAATTTTTTTTGTGATAGAGATGGGGTGTTGCTATATTGCCCAGGTTGGTCTCAAACTCCTGGCTTCAAGCAGTCCTCTCACCTTGGCCTGCCAAAGTACTGGGATTACAGGTGTGAGCCACTGCACCCAGCCCCAGATTTATTTGCATAAAAGATCCCCTTTAGTGCTTTGGGACTGGTTACTGATTTTGATGGTCTTCTAGTTCTTTAAATCTTAAAAAATTTTAAGTCTGCTTTTCTGGGGTTTAATATAGTGTTTTTCAACCTTTTTTAACTCGTGGCCTACCAGCCAAGATTTTGTGGCACCTTTCTTTCTATAAATTCTTTTACAAAGCAATAGGTGGGTCTGTATGTTTATTTTCCAAATACGAAATTATAGTACTGACTACGCCTTTTCAGACTTAACACTGTCCCTCTGTGCTATCTTCCCCTGTCCCAGTTTTTGATCAGTCACCCTAAGTGAAATATATTATTCTTCTTAAGAATCACTGGTCTTAAAAACATAGAAGCAGAGGTGTATTCATCCATTTATTCAATTAATATGTACTGTACACCAAGCCAGAGAAAAGCCTGGCCTTATTAGAAGCTACAGTCTTGTGGGAGAGTCAAGTAAATAAATAAACAACGACATAAATAATCAGAGATTGTAATCGGTGATATGAAGGAAGTCAGAAAGAAAGGTATGTAATGGCATGTGAAACACTAATTCCTTTGTCTTTGAGATGATTCGGGGGCCTGGATTTTGCTTGGTTTGTGGTACAGGATGACTCTTTGGACTGATGTACTGCATCAGAAAGTCCCTAGATGGCGATAAAGATGCAATTGCTAAAGAATCTTACCATTGTCTATTATCTATTATCCATTTATTTCCAAGAGGAAAGTTACACTTCCTGATATTGAGCGTTTGTTGTTTTTCTCATGCGCCAAGAGCAGGAAAGCTGCCCTGGCTTTTGGGAACCAGCAGCATCATTTGATGGGGCGAGCGCCTCGCTGGCTGTGGACAACTGTGTTATCCCAGCTCTGCCCCTCATGGCCACATGACTTTGATCAGGCCAAGCCCCTACTTTCTTGGCTATAAAATGGGGACAATAATACCCAACCCATGTACCTCACAGGGTTGTTATGAAGATCAAGAGGTACAACTATTATGTATCCATAAAAATTAAAAATTTTTTCAAGAAGGTAAATCTAGGAAAAAAATCAAGAGGAATAGCATACACAAATACATTTTGAAAAATACAAGGCATTATACAGATGCAAAGCCATAACAGTCACCTTACTGATACAAAAATAAAACAGTTTCTGAAACTGCAGTGACTGACACCACGATTAAGTGTTGATTTGCGGTAAACATAAGGGGTCCATCATGTATCACATCAGTAGGGCAGAGAACAAATTATATAGCTATGGCCATTTAATCCTAAAGTAGATTATAATTTTACTGAAATTAACAGTGTTTATTTTCAAGACCATCTTTGAGAAATAATTAAGTCAATATTGGTACTGGTAATTGATAATGGGAACAATATATCAGAGCTTACTTTACCAAGGGAAAAGGCTAGCAGTAATTAAGCTTTTCTTTTAATACACAGAATGTAAAAAGCTCTTTTGGAGCCTTTCTGGATCATCAGGTATCTACTATATCCTGTGTTAAACATTTGATGTGGCAATGTTCTTAGCTTTTTTGTTTCTTTCCTTTTTTTCTTTCTTCTCTTAATGTTTGCAGAAGCCGTTGTCTATGAACATGGTTAAACCATACACCTTAAATAAAGAAGTATTTGCCAAAGTGCCAGCATATAGTGCCTGACAGATACCAGCCACTTCAGCATCACTTTGAATAAACGAAACTAAGAACATAAACACTAGTCCTGTAATAACTTTTAAAAACAAACTCTGTTGTTTTTCTTAAGACATCAGTTCCCAAAAGTCAAATGGTATGGTAGAATTTTTTTGTGTCTATGTGGAATATTACAATAACACCATTACTGCTATTCTGTATTTACCTCTGGGGAAAGTTGAGTCTTTTTGTTAAATCTATAGAAATCAATGTCTAACTTATGTAACTGTTGTTCAGGCCTCCAATATAATGAATGGGTGGTTTATGATTTCTAGAACAATGAGAAGTAGAGGAAAAAAGAATTCTGGTATTTTCCTTTTTATAGGGAAACACGTTACATCAGGTTCTTCATTATTTAGAAAAGTTTTTTTATTTTTTGAGAAAATCTTCAGGCAGTTTGCTGTGACTGAAAATAAAGTTGTAGAGAGAAAAATTGTATTCTATGAATACTTTCATGTTTCAACCTGTGTCCCATTGAAAGTTTAGCCTATAGTCTGCTCTTTTTCTATTGATTTTGCTGGTAGTGCTGTGTTCCTCCTTCTTCGGTAGATTTTGTGACGACTATAGTCAGTTATTGGTTTAAAGTGTGTGTGTGTGTGTGTTTTACCCATTGTACCTAAATGATGATCCAGACCCAGTAGTAGTCTTTGTTGACTGGCCTTTTGTTCCTTAAAAGCACACACTCTTCTTTCCTTTGTTGTAATTTTATTTTTTTAACAACAATTTTTAAAAGCCCTGTTTGTGAGTTATTGGATTGATGGACTTAGCCATATCCAGCCTTTCGCTTTTGTCTCCGTGTATCATACCACATTTTGATGTGTGGAAGTGATTGCATACTGTCTGTTTTGTGTCTGTGAGACAGGGATTAACCTTCCTGCCCCCATTCAATTTCCTTTCTAGGTCCAACTGGCCCACCTTCAACACTCCCTCTAAGCACCCAGACCTCTAGTGGCAGCTCCACCCTATCCAAGAAGAGGCCTCCTCCCCCACCACCCGGACACAAGAGAACCCTATCCGACCCTCCCAGCCCACTACCTCATGGGCCCCCAAACAAAGGCGCAGTTCCTTGGGGTAAGTTATCCTAAAGTCAGGGCCATCACTGCCTGGGGCCAGGCAGTGTGTGGGGCTCCACTGGGAAGGGGACAGTTAGCACCTTCAGAAAGTGTACCAAAATGCACACCTCCAGGATGAGGGCTTGGATACACATGAATATGATTATACCTGGCTCTTAAGGCCAGGGAACATTTTGAAAAATATCTAGGGCCACTAAAACCTATTAATAGTAATAAGGTGCTGAGCATTTCCTATATCACATGGCAATCATAATAGCGGCTCCGGGAGGTAGGTATTGTCAGTCTCATTTATAGGTGAAGAAACAAAGGCTCAGGGAAGCAAAGTAATCCACTTTCCTCACAATGTCCAGAATGGTTTTCTTATAAAATATAAATCAGAGCATCGTCACTGTTCTCTTTAACACCCTATAAAGATTTCCTGTTGAGCTTCAGATAAATGCAAATTCCTTTCACCAAGGGCTTAGGGGGCCCTGCATGATCTCGCTCCTATCTCCCAGCCCCTTTCATGCGGCTCCGCGCTCGCCGCTGGCCTTCTTTGCCTTCTTAGATACGCCATCCTCTGCCTCCTGAGGGCCCTTCCACTCCCTGGAACCCTGTCATGCTCTGTGAAAGGCTGGCTGCCTTTCATCCTTCAGTTCTCCGCTTGCATGTTTGTCTCCCTGACCCTCCTCTCTAAAGGAGCTTCCTCCCTGCCCATTTCCTCCCAAGCACTTTGTCACAATTGAGAAATAACTCGATTTATGTCTCTCTGCCCCACGAGAATGTAAGCTCCATGACAGTGGGACCTTGTCCATCTAGTTCTCACCTGTGTTTACTAGAATCGTGCCTGGCACGTGGTGAATATTGTCATTACTTAAATATGAATAAACTTATCCAGAGTCAGCTAGTTTAATCACTTCAGTGACATTGACTGCAAAGGACAGGTTCCTGTCTATAAGGGACATAATTCCCATCTTTACTACTAGCCTGCTAGCAATTTAGGGGTCACCCCATTGCCCAGCAGAGTCCTGGTCCATGATGGGCGCAGAGAGAAGCTTTGCTGAATGAATGTGTTAATTTGTGTGTCTCACCTCCTCCCACCATTGTTTCATTGTGATTTTCTTCTTTTTTATTTTTAATGGTGCTTATGTGTTCAGCATAATGCTTTTGGAGGCCTCCTCAAAAGCCTATATCAAGTGTTGTGAGTGTTTGAGTTTTAGGGAAAAGCCATACTATCCACTTGCAGATTGGCACACCTGTTCATCCTCTGGTGCAGGTGCCCCGCATGTGTGTTTGTGGACATGTCTGTGTGTTAAGCCATTCATTCTCTGACTCTGCTTGCTTATTTGGGGCACTTACTAAGACCATTGCTTGGGCCTTCTCAATCCATGTACTCATGATCTAATGAAGGACACATGTGGGTAAACAATTACAGTACATGTCTTTACTGTCAGAATAGACATGTTACCTAAATACTGTGGAAATGCTGGAAAATTGAGTGTCAGACTTTGTGGGAAAGCCAGGGAAGGTTTACAGAGGAGGAGACATTTAAGATTGCTGTTAACGAACTAGTTCCCAGGATGAACAAGCCAGGCAAGAACAATCAAGGTGTGCAGGCACAAATGCACACAAACACTAAGGATGTCCTTGACATTTTCAGAGATTGCATTCCATGGCCTTCCAAATCCCCCTATTTTGACAAAAAGGACTTTCTCCAAATAACATTCCATTGAAAGTCACAAATTTGCTATACAGACTTTCATGCCACAAATAACAAATTAAACTTCTTTCCAACTTCCTCTAAATTTTAATCCTCTTATTTAATTGGTTTTATTTCTGTGTAAAGTTTACTTCTGTGTAAAGTACCTGTATTCATGTTATATAGACTGAAACATTCCACAAATAAATTTACCACACTTCTGTTTTCTAACTTGAAAGTCATCATATTTTTAGATATCTTTTACTTCATTCAAGTAGGGCTAGCATGTGGCCATTTTCCCCCCAGTGTTGATGGACCAGGGAGCATTTTTCGCTAAGAAACAAAGTTGTTACCAATTTATAAGAGCTAGGAGCATTAGAGCCTTTCCGGGATGTGGGCACTGAGCCACCTGCCAGTTTCTCACCAGCTGAGAGCCTCTCACCTACAACCAGGCTTGAAGAACAAAAATCAGAATCAATCCTTGACAAAAGTAACAATTCTTTATGTGTCATAGACTTTGGTAGTCACTCACAAACAACCCCAGTGTTAGCTCTGGAATTACCAAGGTGCACACACAAGCAGCTGGACTTCTCTTCAGGCAGGTTAAAGTTGCCCTGATCCTGGTATTTGTAGTCTGTGTTGTGTGATCACTGCTTGGTTCATACTCCCTGACTCATGCTGACATTGTATCCCAGAAGCCAAAGACGGGCCAGACTGGTCATCAGTGATGCACATAGGGGATCAGCATCCTAGGTAACATTGCTCTCTCATGCCTGCAGCTTCCCTGGATGCACCCAGGGAATGGGTGCATCTTTCCAGTGCTCTTGTGTTCCCCTAACCCTCCATCTCACCTCAGCCCTTAAAGATCAGGGCCTTTGGACTGTCAGATCAGGAGGAGGCAGTAGAGGAGCAGCCATTTAGCTCTCCCCAGGCCTCCTGGCTGCCTCCAAACAGGACATGTCTGCCATATTGAGGTCTAGCAAGTTCCCCAAAATTCCACTCTTTCCCCTCAGATCCAAGCCTTTACTTACAGTATGCCCTCAACCTACAATATTCTTCCCTTTATTCCTTCGTGTTAATGCTTAGTCATCTTTCAAGATCTGCTGTCCTGGCACCTGCCTAAAAGGCCTTCCCCAGTCTGACCCGCATCCCCCAGCCCAACTCCTTGTCCATCTGGCATAGGGTATCACAGTGGTTCTGTTTCCTGGCCTGTCGTTACCAGTACAGGGACTCCTTATGAGGAGGGACATGTGCTGTTTCTCTCAGCAGAGCAGAGTGCTCTAATGCAGACTCAGTGTCATACTGACTGGTTTCCGATTCTGTCTCTACCACGTGGTAGCCCTGTGGCTTTCCGCAAGTACCTTTGGATGGTTCAGCACCTCAGTTTCTCCAACTATGATATGAGGCTAGTAATAGTACCTGTATTATACATGGGGTTATCATGAAGGTTAAACGAGAAAGACACATAAAGAACAGCTAGAACGTAGAAAGCACTCAGTAAATGTTAGCTACTGTTACCATTGTTCTCAGCCTAGCATTTTGCCGGATGGCTAGATGATAGAAACCTGTATCAGTTTCCTTAGGCTACTACAACACATACAGCAAATGTGGTGTCTTAAAACAATAGAAATTTATTCTCCCAGTTCTAGAGGCTAGAAATCTAAAATCCAGCAGGGCTTTGCTCCTTCCACAGGGTCTATGGAAAGAATCTGCTCCTTGCCTCTCTCAGCTTCCGGTGGCTTCAGATGTCCTTGGACTGTGGCTGCACAATTCCAGTGTCAGCCTCCATGGTCATCTTGCCTCTCACTGCCTTCTCTCTGTGAGCTCAAAACTCCGCTTTGCCTCGATCTTACAGAGATACATGTAATTGTATTTAGAGCACACCTGAATTTCCTGTGTTAATCTTCTCATCTCAAGATCCTTAATTACATTTGCAAAGACCTTTTCCTAATAAGGTCCGATTTACAAGTTCCAGAGATTAGGACTTGGTATCTTTGGCCATTTTTCAGCCTACCACAGCTTGCCCTCTGTCCCCTAAAGATTCACATCCAACCCACATGCAAAATATATTCACCCCATCCCAACATCCCCAAAAGTTTTCAACCCCCTATCCTGGCCCTTGTTTCTAGTCTTCAGAGAAGATACCAGCTGTTGTGTAACTGCCAGACATATTCCTCCTCTTCCCGCTGTGCCTAGGATTTCCTCCTTCACATTCACAGGGGAGATTGTGGTTATTGTCAGCAACTCTCTAATCTTTATTTAATGTAAGGAAAGCAATTGGGGTGAACCCCTCGATCTAAAGAATCGAGTTTGTGAAGTAGGCAAGACTAGAGGCCTGCTGCCAGCGTGTGTGTCCCCTCAGCCCCAATCTGTGTGTGGGCCACCTGTTCACACCACTTCTCTGGTACACCGGACAGTCTCACTAGCCAGCCGCGGAGCAGCATTGTCGTCACTCCCATGACCTGCCTACAGCACAGCAGCTTCTTTCCTTCGCTGGAGCAAGTTTCTACCTGTCAAGTTCTGAAGCTTCTCCCACCACATTCCTGTTTCTGGTCTTAGGGGCACCTCTGGCGTTCAGCTTGTTTGCAGACTATCTATGCCTGACAGGTCCTGGCTCCACTGACAATCACACTTTTCTCTCTGCCAGTTATTAGCCCTGCCCAATCCTCCATGCTGGTCTTTCAGAAGTGGACTGGGCAGGGGAAATAAGCAAGGCAGTTGACGTTGAGACATCGGTGAGAATGAGGGCCAGAAATTGCAACTTTCAGTGCATCTGCTTCACAGAAGGCCACACTTCCTTCATTACAAAGGCTCTGTCTTCCCCCCTCTCAAATTCCATTTCATGCCTTTATGAATTCTCAATACAGGTTTATGGCTCATAAGAAAAAAAGAAAATGACAATTCCTCATTATTTAGAATCTTCAGATAAAAATCTATGAGTGTGATATTTTACAAGGTTAACACGTGTAAGGGCCCTCACACAGTGCTGGGCACTGTGTTAAGCACTTTGCATGTATTAACTTATCTAGTTCTTAACCACAGTTACAGAGCAGAAAATGCTATTACTTTGACTTTAAGGTCACAGATGCAGAAAGGTTAAGTAACTTGCCTCATTTCTAACAGTATGTGGGGGTCCAGAACTCATCTCCAGCCTGTGTGGCCGAGAGCCAGCACTCCTCACACTCTCCACCTGATGCTCCGTGCTCTTGAAAGGCAGGCGAGTAAGCCGCTGGTGGTTCCTCCTCGTAGCAGTGGTTTCTGTACCCATGGTGCTGACATGGGGAGAAGATGATCCACTTAGCACAAGTAGCCCAGCGAGCCCCACATGCTCCCCAGCTACCGCCTCGTCCACCTGCAGCATGGCACCCTGGTGTGTGGTTCCAGCTCTGCCCAGGCAGGCAGGGCCACTCCACTTTTTCCCTGCCAGAACCATGATGTCCACAGTGCCCAAAATAGCGCCAGCATCATGTTACCAAAGTCCCGCTTCTGTGACGAATTCAGCCATCTGTCTCAGGAGACTTCTGAGGCAAGCTGTTGATAACAAACAGATAGCCCTGTGGGTAGATTCGAATTTTGGGAGGACTTTATGATTTTTGAGGTGACATTTCATTAAACCTCCTCCTTTTTAAATAACCTACTTTATAAAAGATCAACTCATATTTTAAGACAATTTAAATAAGGAAATGAGAACAAAGGAAGAATAAAAGTAGCAAAGTAAGATGGAGTCCAGGAGTGTGATTTCTTCACAAAATGCATGCCGTAGCGTCACATACAGTGGCTGGAAGATTTGACCCTAAGGGTCTTACAGGCAAGAGCAAAAAAATATATAATCACTAGTCATCTAGTTCATGGTGGCCATGAGATTAATCCTGTCATCACACTTGAGATTCTTGTAATTACTACCTGAGAGCAATTTCCCTTAGGATCTCCATCCTTTGGCATTTAAAGAAGTGTCTGCAGTGCACATGTTGGGAAGCTATAACGTGTACAGAATGAACGTTCCAGAAGCCTAAGTTCTGATCCAAGTTCAGCCAGTCCCTGGCTAAGTTACCTATGGGAATCACATTTACCTTTGACCACTGGGACTTAAAATTGTGTAGGTATTTTTTTTTTTAATATACAGAGCAGATAATGGATGAAAAAATCCTACCACAAGTTCATTCACTTCTCATATTTCAAGGCCAGAAATTCTAGGTAAAAAGGCTCAACATTTGGAATGTCTGACCCAAGGCATACACATTTACTTATTTGAAGTAGCATTGGCTTATAAAAGAGCCTGTGGACAGAAATTTCTTTATTTTTTCTTTTTCTGGGATTCTCCAATATGTTTTCATGTCTGCTTCTTCTCTTGCCCCCAACTCCATTTTGCACACAGTGCTGGACATCATAATGGCTACTGCCATTTGTAGATTGTTTGCATGTACCAGGTGCCATGCACTTGTTCATACATTATCGTATTTAGCTATCACTGTCATCCTGTAAGACAGGGACTGGCACTGTCCCCAGTTTACTGATGATGAAATGAAGGACAGAGAAGTCAAAAGACTTGGCAAAAGATCACAAATCCAGGAACTTCAAAACTGGATTTAAACTCATTTCCGACTCCAGGGGTCATACACTAGTTCACTATTCCAGAAGACCCTTGGAGCCTCCAAACTATTCACTAAGCCAATGTCCTCCTCTTTCCACAGACTCTTGGCTGCAGCTTCTAAGCTGTAAAAAGTGACCAAGAGTCTTGACCACAGTTTCTTTCATTGCTTGCCCAACATGTGTCTCCAGCTCTCTCTTACTCAAGTCTGTATGATATACCAAGGTCCTTTTTCTTTTTTCTTTGTACTTTTTTAGAGATGGGGTCTCACTGTGTTGCCCAGGCTGGTCTCGAACTCCTGGCCTCAAGTAGTACCCCTGCCTCAGCCTCCCGAGTAGCTGGGATTATAGTCTTAAGCCACTGTGCCTAACATCAAGGTCCTTTTTCTAAATTGCACGGAGAAAGAAAAAAGGATTGAGCTGCTTCCATATTTTTGCTCCTCATTCTCCTCTTTTCAGTACTATCTTATTTTCAGAAGTTTTTCTAAACCACATTTTTCTTCTCAGGCACAGCAGGTAGTCTTTTCCTAGCTATGAGAGGGATAGGATTCTTGTCAGCTGGACGCCTACCCACCCAGGTGTGTGGGCTGCAAAGTTGATGAGTCAGTACTCTTGGTCCTTTCTTTTTTCAGCAGAGACTCACTGACTGATTTGTGCCAGACATTGTGCTAGAAAGTGGGGTTACCAAGATGTGGAAGACAGAGTCCCTATCTTTGAGGTGCCACTAGTAAATCAGCATCATTTCTGTTGCATTCCATCAAAGAGCTATGAATAATAATAATGTCATTTATATCATGCTTCCTGGGGACCACACTATGCCCCACACGCCATAGCTTATTTCTTGTAATGCTCATACCCATCTAGTGTAGCAGGTTACTGTGGTTATTCTCATTTTATAGATGAGGGAATTGAGACTTAACAGAACAAGCAGTGTCATCCAAACTCACACCCCCTGGTCAGTGAAACAGCTGGAATTCAAAACCAGGCTTGTCTGGCTCCACAGTCTATACCCTTAAGCACTCCTCACAAGAAGTTGGTCACAAGGGGGTGGTCAGGTCAGCTAGGGAAGAATTCTCACAAAGTGAATTTGGAAATGTCCTTTGATGGTTGTATAGGAATTCAAAGAGTGAGGGGGTCGGGCATTGCAGGGGAAACGCACAGAAGGGGCAAAGTTACAGACACATGAAAACACACAGTGTCTTTGGAGAATGGAGACTGACTTTGAGTGGCCAGAGAGGAAGGTTAAATGAGGACTGTGGACACTCGGGCCTGTGGATATCAGGCAGCAGCCCCTGACACGATGACTCATCTGTGAATGAACACAGCAGAGCCAGGGGGCTTTTGCAGCCCTCTTGGTCTCAAGTTCACTGATGCATAGCTCATGCAAACTGGGTTCATGATTCCTTGTTCAGAATGTTTTCTACCTGGAAAGGGAATTAACAGATGCAACAGTTTATTCCCCAAACACAGAACTTTCTTTGACATTTTTATTGTTATGGCTCATTTAATTCTGAAAGTGTAAGATTTGATATCCAGCCCTGGACACTGAGCGTTGAGCACAGTGCTAGAAAGAAATGCTTCCCTTGAAATAACAGGTCAGAGAATTTCGTAAGAGTTACCAAAGAAGTCCTCAAATACTAAATTATAGGCTCATGGAAATACATTGATGGTTAGGAGTATCTTATTAAAATGAAACAGAACTAAATTTGAAAGTGTTTGGTTCCGGTAATGCCGGTTTAACTTGTTTCTTGTATCAGTGTTACAGAACATTCTGTCCAAGAGATCTAGTCTTAGCGCTCTGCTAGCCTCAGCCTCCCGGAGGTGCAGTAGGACTGGGTAGGGATAGAGTGTGGGAGTTCAGAGGACAAACCCTGGACGAGGGCTGCCAGCACTGTGTCCTAGCTCTGACCCTTTACGCAGCTACTTGACCTTGGACAATTGACTTTCCTTCTCTGTGTTTCTTCGTATATAAAATGAAAGGTGATTATATTATGTATCTCATGTTCATAATTACTACGAGTACTTAGCACAATACCTTGCTCATAATAAGTGCTTAATAAATGGTTGTTGCGCTTATTAATGTTACTATTGGGTGGGGCATCATAATGGGTAATGAAGAGCACATGGATTTGTCGTCAGGACTCCTAGGTACACCGTCTACCCATGGGGCCTGCAGCTAGCTACTCATGCACTTAGCCTCACTTCATTTACTTTAAAAAGGAAGTAATGATGCCAGTCTCATCTTGTGAGGAAGGATGACTGGGTGGATATAAAAGCATGTGGGCGACTGTTGGTGCTGTTGGGCAGATATCATTAATATGTAGTGAGGATTAGTTCAGTTCTTTTTTCACCCCTGTCCTCTTCATCTACCCTCGTGTTTCTGAGCCACCTGGCCCAGCCCCTTCCCAGTACCACCTGGGCAGCATTATAGATGTCTAGGCAGGGGAGAAAGGATCTGCTGAAGGAAGAGAACACTTGGAATTTCCAAAGCGGTCATTGGAAGAGAGAACAAGGAGATGAATTGGAGCCCCAGAGACAGTGCGTCCTGCAGCTCTCGAGGATTCTTCCCGGGTGCCTGGCAGCTTGGGGCCCCAGCACTGCCCTATGCTCCTCCCACAGTAGAATGGGTCACAGAAGAGCCCACTTTTATTCTAACCAGTTTTTGGACCATCTCCTGGACAAAGCACACTTACCTCCACCTGTGTGCCTCTGGTTTTGCTACTCCCCCACTAGCAGTTCTTCTCCTCTAAGGTGCCGGGATCTCCTCAGAAAGCATTGCCTGCCCCTCTTACCAGTTAGCTCTCAGACAGTTTCCTCTTCATTTCACAGCAACCAATGTTCGTGTCATTCCTCACTATTATTATAGTTCCTACGTGTAAGTCTCACAGGCAAGACCATAAACTCTGTGAGAGCAGTGACAATTTGCTTTTGTGCCTCCTGCTCTGCATTTATGCCTTGCATATAGTAGATGCTTAATAAATGTTAATGATGAATGATGAATCAGGTGACTCAGGGCCTTGCCCAGCAGATGACCAGTTATCACCACATACTCACAACTTGTGAGTTGTGTGTTTCTTCTGAGTCTGGATACTAGGAGGTAGTCTCCTAGCATGGTGAACTTGAAATTTTATGCCTTTCCCTACTGTTAAACTGAGGACAAGATCTAGAGCCATTGGGAACATCCTATGATCTTTGAGGCCTTTCAAGGGAGCAGGTTGCTCACCTCTCTGTTTAACTGACTAGCAGTTAAACATAATCAGAGCCCAAAACAGTGCTTAATTTTACTTTATTTTGTGTTAATGCCAGAAACGCATACTGTTCTAGCTTGGGTCTTTTAAAGCCTTTCTGGAACCTGAGCGATGCCTGTCTGTGTGCCAAACTCATATATCCCCATATTGCATTTCCTTGTCTGAGGAGTCAGTATGCACCTTTTCACATTCAGTTTTCCTTTGTAGGTAACGATGTGGGTCCATCTTCAAGTAAGACCGCAAACAAGTTTGAGGGACTGTCTCAGCAGTCAAGGTAAGCCATCTTAGCGCGTCCTCTCTCCTACTGGGCTCGTAGATGCAATGGACAGAACTATAGAAATGGGTTTTCCCAGCTTTCCCGGGGCCACTCAGAGTGTAGTCAGCCACCTGGGGCTGCTCGTGATGAGAAACTGAATGTCCACTCTCGGTGTCACGTGCGTCTCGTTGCTGCGCCATCACAGACAGTTCTAGGTCTGCAGACCGTGTTTCTGAGCAGCACAGCTCTCCGTCGAGTTCACAGCAGGGAGCTAACCTCATTTCCCTGATGGTCACAGGGTCATGCAATGGTCTTTAATAAAATTCCTGTCAGAATAAGTTTTTATTTTTGATGTTTTCATTAAGTAATTTTTTGTTACTTTTCCTCTTAAATCCTTTTTCAGACTTGAGAATGAAAAGATACTCTTCAGGGAAATCTGATTGCCCAGAGATTTTTCAAACATAAAAATGTGACTCCCTTCAAGTTCTCTGTAAGATTGTTTTTAGGCTGAACCGAAAGCAGTGTTCCTTTCTCCCCTCCTTTCGCTGAAATGGGATACTTTGGGAGATCTTCTGCAGGCAGTATTTATCCAGCCCTACCCCAAAGGGTTTTCTCTAGAGGTGCCATCCGAGAAAAGGACACAAAGAACCACTTCCAGACCCGAACCTCAGGGAGAAAGAGTCAGCTGCTACATTGAGAGTTGCTTTCCAGAGTTTCTCAAAGATGAAAGAACAAAACCTCATTTATGTTAATACCGCTGTCTTACTTAATCTTTTAACCCTGTGAGATAGGCCCCATTACTGTTATCCTCAGTTTACAGATGGGGAAACCAAGGCCTGGCAAGGTTCAGTGATGGACGCAGATGTCCGAGCTGGCTCCCCAGACCTCATGCTCCGTGCCACTTCCTGACCCCATGCCCTGCCTTCCATTCCTCACTCCATCCTCCTTGACTTCTGCTTTGAGGGACCCTGTAAAACCAAAGTTCCAGTGGTTATCTTCCCAAGTGGGGAGAGTTTCAGGCACTCAGAAAGCACTCACAAAATGTTTTTAAACCAAATCAAGCTGATCATAAACCAGAGCCATTTGGTGACTCATTGAGTTTTCAGTCCCCTCCCCCACGTCCGTGCACACACACACACGACCACCAGCAGGAGCAGCCTCGTATTCGCCTCCAGTAGGAAGAGCCCCAGGTCCAAGCACAAGCAATGTTGATACAGGGGATTCTGTATAAGAAACGTTTGAACGTAGACCTTGGCCTTAGTAACGTGGCCAGGAATGACCATCATGCTCACACCAGTCGTGGGCGGCTGTGCTTCCCTGAGACGATGCTGAGGCAGGACACACCAAAAAAACACTCCAAAAATGTTAGAAGCAAAGCCGTCTCATGTTTGCTGTTTCTCATTTAGTAGCAGCTTTATCTCAACAATATTATTCTCTAGTTGCCCAGAGGTGGAAGAATTTCAAGTGAGCTGAAGAAAGAGCAGTTAAGATCAAGGTGTTTGGCCAGACGCGGTGGCTCACGCCTGTAATCCTAGCTCTCTGGGAGGCCGAGGCAGGCGGATTGTTTGAGCTCAGGAGTTCGAAACCAGCCTGAGCAAGAGCGAGACCCTGTCTTTACTAAAATTAGAAAGAAATTAATTGGACAACTAAAAATATATAGAAAAAATTAGCCGGACATGGTGGCGCATGCCTGTAGTCCCAGCTACTCGGGAGGCTGAGGCAGTAGGATTGCTTGAGCCCAGGAGTTTGAGGTTGCTGTGAGCTAGGATGATGCCACGGCACTCTAGCCCGGGCAACACAGTGAGACTCTGTCTCAAAAAAAAAAAAAAAAGATCAAGGTGTTTGAGGGCCAGGACTGAGAAGGAAACACATACATTTCATAATCTGTCTTTGACTCTTTTTTGTTTGTTTTGGTTGGTTGGTTTGACTTTTCTTTTTATTTTAAATGCCGTTAGGATAGAAATAAGAAAAAGAAGCCAAGTCTTAGGACATCAGAGGACAGAAGGGGAGAAATGAGATAATAAAAGGGGTTTGTGGCAGATGCAGCTCAGGCACTTGGCTGCTCCTGCCTTTCGGGCATGGAGTCCTCTTGGCGTCCTCTGAGAATCACTGTAGCCTCTTGTTGAAGAAAAACAGTGGCTTCTATCTGGTAGCCTCCACCTATAGCACTGGCATTTCGGTTGGGGGCGGGTTAACATTTGATGATTCAGATAACATGGTATGGACTTCTATTCCGGGGAGTTGGGCATTTTTCCTTCATTTTTGTGTCCTCCAAAAGGGGGAAAAGGCCAGGGGAAGCCTGGAGGCCCGAGAACCGAGCTATTTACTTTGCTGGAGTGGAGGAAGTGAGGGCTCTGGAGGCGAGCAGGGCTAGGGCTGACTTTCCACTCCCACCTCTGACCAGCGCGGACCTTCTGGCAGCCACTGACCCTCACTCACTTCAGTCTCCCCACCTGGCACCGGGGATGGTGAGAGCTGCTTTGTGGGACCTCGTGTGATGAGTTAAGTCTGTGTTCTGCACTGAGGTCACGACGTAGAGCGCTCCAGTGCCTTCGTAAACATTATTACCTCCGGGAAAAAGCTTTGAAATGGAGGAGTTTGGCTTTATCATTAAGACGGCCTTTTTTTTTTTTTCCGCCCTTTCACTGTGCCTCCCCAGCCCAGCAAATTGAAATATGGCAAATAAACTATAATGTTTTATTAAAGAAATTTGGAGTGGATGTTTTAGATAATTCTGTATATGCCTTTTATTTCCTTGAATAATATATCACTACTGATATTCTAGCACTTCTAGATCCTAAATAATTCTTGTTTATTAATCAGCACCAGTTCTGCAAAGACTGCCCTTGGCCCGAGAGTTCTTCCTAAACTACCTCAGAAAGGTAAGATTTCTCCTTTTCACATTCACATGTAATTAAAGTATCACTGCACACTCCAAGGGGATAGGGGTCTTTGTCCCTCATTGATCTATCCCAAATACCTGGAGCAGCACCTAGCATGTAGTAGATGCCCAATAAGTATTTGTTAAATGAAGAAAAGTATCTATAAACCCAAATTCGGGGATTAGCAAAACACCATACTTTTCCCCAAAAAATAATACTTTTATAGAAGACACATAAATGTAATCCCAGGTACTATTCTTTCTCCTTTTATAAACATAATCAGAGAGCCCTGGGAACCTGTTCCAGCTCTACCATTTACTAGCTGTGTGGCCTTGGGCCAGTGACTTAGTAACTTCACTAACCCTCAGATTCCTCATCCATAAAATGGAGGAAATAATACCTACTTTGTAAGGTTTCGTAAGGACAAAATGAAGTCATGATTCAGAAAGTCCCTCGCAAGTGGGTGGCAAAGGAATCCTTCGTTGGGATGGCATCTGTCGTGTAGAGCAGAGATACCCATGCTCTGCGAGGCACAAGAAAGCAGTGTCTGTAAATGTTGCTTCTTTGCCAAGCAAAGACACTCAGCTCTTTGACCAAGTCTTTTTTAATCCTGACCCGGCTTTTCATTTGTAAAACCAAAATTTCAGTTTTCTTATTACAAAACAATTGACAGTGCCGCCTTTCTTTTGTTACGATGCCTTTCCTTTAGAGTTGCACAACACCTTTAGAAGTGCAGGTTCATTCCATCCCCACATATGCCTTCAGGGCCCCCTCAGATACAGACAGAGTTTCAGGGGAGCTCAGGGCTGCTCTGTGGATTTTTGGTGTTGGCAGCAAGACTTGTGACCTCAGTCCAGGCTCTGGTGCCTAGTTGGAGGAGAAGTCAAGCTAGGGGTTGGTGTTGGAAAGTTGAAATTCACCACTCTCCAAGGTTCTTCAGTCAAGTGACACATTGGGAAGAGCGCTGCCTGGTCGTCCAGGCTCCTGTGTAGTAAGATGAGGGGAGTCCCAGATGGCTGCCGATTCATTCTCCATAGAACAGAAAGGAAGGCTTCCCCTGGGTTCACTGAGTCTTTATCCAGGGTTGGTTTTTGCTGTGCTTTTTATTTTTAAACACTGCCCAAGGCCTGTCCTGATCTCACAGGAGTTTGAGACAAGTTGCCCAGGCAGTCTGCCCTGATTCCACCCCATGTCGCTCACATTGTCCCCACCTTTCCAGCCCACTTCCTCTAGCACCCAAAACCCAGCTGCTGCCACCTCTTCCCTGTGTTCATTCCCTTCGTGCCCTCCCTCCCCTCCCAACCCAGCATCAGTCTACTCCTGAAATCACTCGCACCCTGCTGTGCTGGACTCTGCCACTCCACTGGCTCCTGTGCCTGGGCCTGATGGCTAGAGGTGGCCGGGAGAGGCACAGGCAGGATGGTGGCTCTACTCATGACCACTGGCCTCGCAGTCGTCTGGCACCGACCCTAGTGCAGGTGCCCACCGCCTGCCCCCGACTCCTCCACATGGTCCCTCTTCTCTTCAGGAGGACTTGGCTTCTATTTGCCCAGCAAGTTAGCACATAAGTCCTACCTGCCTGCATGTGGCACCTGTGGTCCTAAGGTAGACCCTTTCCCCTCCTAACCCCCCAGTGACAGCATGCCAGCAACTGTCCATGGCCTGCTGCGTCACTGTTCTCCCTGAACCCTCCCATCAGAGGGCAGTTGTGCTGTCAGAGTGCCCGTCTGGACCCACGTCCTTCCCACACCACCCCCTTGCTCTACTCCCATTCTTTATCTTTGTGTATGTGTGTTTTTACTATTTGAAATTTCTCATAATAAGCATGTACAGAAATACTGAAAAGACTCAGAACAGTGTAGTGCAGCCTCCTCCTCCACAACCAGATACTCATGGCCCATCTCCACAATTACCAGTTTGTGCCTGATCTTGTTCCATCTCGTTCCTGGCCCACCCATCCCCAGTAATTCTGTAGCAAATCCCAGGTATCATGTCATTTTATACACATGCAGTCCCATTACCACATCTAAAATTTGTATCACATCTAAAATATCTAAAATGCCTTAATGTCATCAAATTCCAAGTGTTAAATTTCCAGTTGTCTCACAATTTTTTTTTAAACAAATTATTTGAATAAGGAACAAAATAGACACATTACAGTTGATTGATTCATCTCCTAAGTTTCTTAGGCTAATGGTTTCCCTGTATCTCTCTCCTTTTATTTGTTGAAGAAACTGGGTTATTTGTGCTGTAGGTTTTCCCAGTCTAGATTTTGCTCATTACAGCCCCGTATGTTTGTTCGTTTAACATGTTCCTCTGTTCTCTGTGTTTCCTGTTAATTGGAAGTTGGATCCAGAGACCTGATCAGATACAAGTTCAGGCTTTGGCAAAACCATTTTGTAGGTGGTAGTATGTTCTACCCAGAGGTACACACACACCGTCTGATTGACTCTCTTCGTGTGAAGCTCGCAGCTGTCAGTGCTCAAAGCCAAGATCCATTCACCCACCCTCTCCAAATCCCTCCACAAGGCCATTGGCCAGTGGTCAGTCCGAGCCCTTGTCTTTCTTGGCCCATCTGCAGCTTTTGCACAGTTGATTGCTCTCTCCTCCCTGACGTACTTTGCACTTGGCTTCGGGACACCACCCTGTTCATTCTGACTGCGCTGACAGTCCTTTCTCCACCTCTTCTGCTGCTTTCTCCCCATCTCAACCTCTGAGTGTTGGGGTGCCACAGGTCCTGGTCATGAACTGCTTCTCTTCTGCATCTGCCCTCACTCCCTAAGTGATCCAGACAGTCTCATAGCTTTAAAACCATCTGGAAAGCGCCACACTGATATCTCCAGTAGAAGTATCCCTCCATAATCTGAACTCACAAACAACAGCCTGTTTGGCCTCGCCACTCATAGGCTTCTCAACCTCAAAACTTGCATATAGACTCCTGATACCCTCCAGACTTGTTCCTGCTGCAGTGTTCCCATCTGTTTCCAGGTGTTCAGGCCTTAAAACCTCAGAGAGATGCTTAATTCCTCCCCTTCTCACACAGCCCACAACTAGTGTTTCCACAAATGCTGTTGGTTTTCCTTTTGATACATATTTAAAACCCAGTCATTTCTCCCCATGTGCACCACTGTCACCCAGGTCCAAGTGACCATCATCTCTTATCAGGACTATCGGAGCCTCCTACCTGGTCTGCCTGTAGTCTTCCACGCTGCCCCTGCAGTCTGTTCTTAGCAGAGCAGCAAGACTGATCCATGTTCAGTCACTCCTCTGTCCCAGGCCGTCCAGTGGTTCCCTGTCTCACCCAGAATAAAAGCAAAGTCCGTATGGTAGCCTCCAGGGCCTTCTGTGATCTGAACCCTTCCGCCTATGTGACCTCTGATCTGCCTCTGGCCTCTCTGGGTATTTCACTGTAACAACCCCACTGGCCTCCTGCTTCTCTGTAAAGATCCCAAACACGTTCCTAGCTCAGGGTTTTACATTTGCTCTTCCCTCTGCCACCAACCTGAACCATTTCTTCCCGCTACCACCTAGCAACACAGCTGGTGTTCTGGCCCCCTGCACATTTTTGTTCAGCTCTCACCATGTCAGAGAGGGCTTCCCTGACCACGCTGTTTGGTAGCCTGCTCTCCCTCTCACACACACCCTTTCTCCCTTCCCCTGCTTTACATACACTCACCCTCTGACATACTCCGTGTGTACTTGTCATCCTCTCGCCAAAATCTGAGCTCCCAGAAGACAGGAACCTGCTCTGTTCTGTCTGTTGCTGTGTTTCAAGTGCCTGGAACAGTGTCGGGCACAAGCATGTGCCCAGCAAATAGTGGTGGAATGGTCACCCTTTTCCTGTCAGTCTGAACTACTCTTAGGCTAGGGGTTGGCCACCCATTACTCACTTTGTGACTTGGGGAGGCTCCGCAGCTTTCCTCAGTGTCTCCACTTGGAAAATAAGGATGATGGTGATATCCATGTGGCAGGGCTATTAGGAAGATAAAGCAACATAAGGAAGCAGGTCTCAGGAAGGCCGCCCTCCTCTCCTCTGCTCTGTGGTTCCCTCTCTCGCCTGCCCAGCATTGAGTCTTCTGGGCTGGTGTGCTCTGAGGTCCTAGCCAGCCTCCTCTTCTCCCCTTGAAGGCCAGTACCAACAGCCAGGTTGTTACACCAAAGCCAGCAGTGGCAGAGAGGGTGTGGGACAGAGCCAGGATACGTGACGCTGGGCGTAGCATGGCCCTGCACCGTATTTCATGCTAATGGTGGTGATAATGCAGCTTTGATTTGAGATTATAAATGCCTCTTATGGCCAGAGGCCCACTGTCCCACTCCCTTTTTCTCACGTGCAACTAGCAGGGGGACCAACATCGATTGAGAGCCTGCTACAAATCAAGCACATGCATATTTTCATCTGATATAATCACATCCACCCCCTTATGAAGTAAATAGTATTTTCTGCATTTTTTTTACATGAGAAAACTGAGGCTCAGTAGGTTAAGAAACTTGCTCCAGTTCACAGGTTTATTTAGCCAAAGAGCAGCGAAGATGGGATGTTTGTGTAAGTCTTTACTCCTAAAGCCAACACGAGACTTCCTTTTCTGTTAATGCATTCCACCTGTACTTACTGAGCAGCTTCTCTGCTGCAGGCAGTGTGCCAGTGCTGGGGTAAAGCGGTGAAGAAGCCTGTGCCCGCAAGGCACTCTCTGTCGGGGGGACGCCATTACAGGCAGACATAAGTCACAAGAAATACAGGAGACGGTGATGCTCAGGGGAGAGACTGCAGCCCAGCCTGGAGCTCCTTGCTCACCCGACGCTGGAACCTGCAGGGCTGTGGCAGTAAATGACTGTCATCCACTCACTGGGCCTTCTTTCCCGGGTCGTCCACAGGCACAGTTCTGACCCTGCTCCACTGGGGGCGGAGGGCATCTGTAAGGCTGAGGGGGCAGAGCTGCAGCCCCCTCCCTGGACGTCTGCTAGCGGCAGGCAGTGTCATGTGACTGTGTCCCGGCCACATTTTCCTCTTTTCCCCTTCCAAACACCACCCATTTTTCAAATCCTGTGGGTACCTTTTCAAAGGGTTGATTTAAAGCCTTCTCAGCCGGAGACATACTACAACATTAGAGCCATTTTCTAAATGTATTTTTTGGTAAAAAGCAATATTACAGAAACATTAAAGGATTTTTAAAGATGAACAAAGTCACCCGTAAATTCTGTAATACAACTCCCTGATCGCTTCCAAGAACACACATTTTTCTACAGTTGTCATCATAATGAAAGTACAGTCTTGCATGCTGTTGTTTTCCACTGAGCATTTTAACATAAGTGTTTTTCATGTGTTCATGAACTCTTCCTAACCATGGTTAAGGCGCACACCATTCCATCAAGTGCAGGGCCATCGTTTACCCGGCATCCCCTTTGTTGGAAATTTGGGCCGGAAGTTTGTAGTGAACATCTTCACGCAGGCTTTTTCCTCCTCCAGCTTGTCCTCCTCCATCACATTCTTGGTATCAGTTCTCGGGAACGGACTATTACAGTAAAGGGTTGTAATCTTAATAGCACACACTCTGTGTACACACAGCTTCTCAAAGGGCCGTGTCCACTTGCTTTCCAGGCAGTCTTGCCTGCAGGAGGCGGGTGCACTATGACACTACTGCCCTGAATTTTTTTTTGCAGGGGTGGGTGGGCTGGGATTTTCATTCCTTTTCTGTTTTGAATGTGCCTTACTCTAGCAGTGGACTCTTTGTAGTCCAGTTGTGGGGGAAAGCCTGCCCTTCATAGTTAAAGAATGCAGTCAGAAAGGACTTTTAATTGGACAGAGGATAAAACTAATTTGAGAATAAAATAGCCACAAAGATGGGGCAGGCTTCCCTAAAGGAGAGACTATCTCTTTCCTTATTTTGTTTCTTATTGTTATTAAAGTATACGTATTTATTATAGAAGATTTGAAAGATACAAATAAGAAAACACAAACCACCTGAAGTCTTACAACCCAGGATAACCAATTTGGCATATATCTTTTGTCTTTTCTTCTGTGCTTTTTTTTAAGTTTCTGATTAAGCTGATTTTTTTTCCACATAAAAAACCAAAAACATTTTTCATGACATCAGTTACACCACAGTATGATTTTTGTTGACTACATAGTATTCCATCGTTGAAGCAATCCCCTGCCATTTGACATTCAGTCAGCAATCTTTTCATCATAAACAGCGCTAACAGTAGCACAGACATCTAGTGTGTGACTGTGATCATTTTTTTAGGGTAAATTCCTTGAATCGGAGTTGCAGGTGAAGGGACTTGTGTATTTTGAGGTTTGGGGATGCCCCGCACTTACAGTTTCTTCCCCCATGGGCATGACTCACAGCAAGGCCTCCACACCCACAGCCTCAGGGATTCCCCAGCTTTTTCCCTCCTTACCACCTGCCTCAGATTGTTGTTGAGCCAATTTCAAACTTCCAAGAGAGGAACCTGATTGATCTAGTTTAACACTTAGAGCCAAACCACATCAGCTGAAGCTCAAGGGCCAGTCCACCTTGCATTTGATTTTTTAGGGATGTGGCTCGTAGGTCATGAGTGGAAGCAGCCCTAGCACAGCTTGTGACAATTTACAACACTGGAGTTTATCTTTTTCTTTTTTATTTTATTTTTTTAAAGAATGTCTTTCTGAATAGGTTATATTTTTGGAGTCAAATCCTTAGTTTTTTCTATGTAGGACAGAGAAATCAGAAAAGAACAAACATTTTTTAATTAAAAAAAATTTTAAATCCTGAGTTTGATTCACGCAGTGTTCTTAGTCAGCTGCTTCCTTCCTCAGGGCATACTATATGCTTGGCCCCTGTGCCAGGACCCAGAGTTAACAAAAATGAATGAAAATAGGAATCTTGGCCTCAAGGAACCCTGCCTAACAATAATGATATTGTTTTTATATATGTAATGTTTACAGCCTGCCAGATCATGTCAGTAAATTCTTTGCGTATATTAACTCATGGAATCCTCATGCCAACCCTTCGAAGCAGGGTTTTAGAGATGAGGAAGTTGTGGCACAGAGAGGCTGTATAATTTGCGCAAGGTCACACAGCTACTGAGTGGTAGAGCCACAGTTGAAGATGTGTCCTAAGTGCTGTGGTGTAGAGCTGTATGAATGGCTATGGGAATGGTTCGACAAATTGTACCATTCCCTAAGCTGTGCAGTATTGTGCAGCCATTAGAATAAGAAGGAGCTGACTTAGAAACTCTTCCAAACCTGTTAGGTGGGGGAGAAACAAAGCTTCAGACAATGTATGTATCCCATATGTGTTTTTTAAAAGCTTCATAAACACATGTATGTGTATCACCAAAATCTAACAGGTCACGGGGGGGAGGGTGAGAGGAGAAGCCTTTTGCTTATCTTATATACTGTGTGATCACATAAAATGGGAGGAAATATTGACACAGCTATAGAATGGAATAGAATACACCATTCAGAATTACATACTGCTAGTAGAGAATTTTTAATAACATGACAATACGTTTGCTAAAACAGTATTAGATAAAAGTAGATGAAGTTATATCTATAAAAAATATATAGAAGAGGTGAGAAGGAAATGTATCAAAATATTTAAAATGGCTACATTTAGATGGTAGGTTTACAAAAATGTTTTCTTTTTAACATTGCACTTTCCAGCGTTCTATAATCTGCTTGTATTATGTTTGGTGTTTTTTTTTTTTTTTTAATTCTGGATTAATATGGACATCCTCTTCTTTACATAATTGAGGCATAAAGCCGTGAATTATAATACCTTCCAGGCTTCCAACTTTCATCTTTTTAAAAACAGGCGGCCTGGGCCTGACCCTGAGCTCTTCCATCCCAAGTGCTCACTTTAGGTCAGTTCCCTTCACGGTGATCGTGCCTCCTTCAGATGACCGTGACAGGAAGAAAGCCACCCTTCCCACCTCGTATTCTGTTCCAATGACCTCCCTCTTTGTGATTGTTTCCCGCAGTGGCACTAAGGAAAACAGAAACCAGCCATCATCTCTCCCTAGACAAAGCCAATGTCCCGCCTGAAATCTTCCAGAAATCGTCACAGTTGGCAGAGTTACCACAGAAGCCACCACCTGGAGACCTGCCCCCGAAGCCCACAGAACTGGCTCCCAAACCCCAAATTGGAGATTTGCCACCTAAGCCAGGAGAACTGCCCCCCAAGCCACAGCTGGGCGACCTTCCACCCAAACCCCAGCTCTCAGACTTACCTCCCAAACCACAGATGAAGGACCTGCCCCCCAAACCACAATTGGGAGACCTGCTGGCAAAATCCCAGACTGGAGATGTCTCACCCAAGGCTCAGCAGCCCTCTGAGGTCACGCCGAAGTCACACCCAGTGGATCTCTCCCTAAATGTGCAGTCCAGAGATGCCATCCAAAAGCAAGCATCTGAAGACTCCAATGACCTCACACCTACTCTGCCAGAGACGCCTGTACCACTGCCCAGAAAAATCAATACGGTGGGTAGGCACCAGTGTTCAGGCTCTTAACGATCCCTGTGCTGCACTTGGAAAGCTGGCGGGAGGGTATGCGCTCCAAATTGTACAAGAGAAAGCAGGGGCTTGCTCACCTGACTGACCCTGCTTCCGTGCTGTGGTTCCAGCATTATGGTGGAGTGGAGCCTACTGCTTAAGAACACAGGCTTTGGACTCCAACAGGCTTTAAGACCTGGCTTCAGTGCCTAATACAACCACACAACCTTGGCAAGTTACTTTCTCTGAGCCTCAGTTTCCTCATATGATATATGAGCTTATGGATGATTAAATGCAAATGAGCAGCACTTCCTGGCACATAGACCACTGAGGAGTGGTCACTCTTATCTAGGAACCTTGTCCTAGATAACCTTTTCCTTTCCCTAAGGTCACAAGAAAGCAGTTTCCCTCTCTGGGCTCTGAGAATCTTCCAAGTCAGTGCTTCTCACTGCATCCTCCTGGAGGAATGGAAGGTAAAACCCAAAGAGCCTTCCACAAACATTTGTAGAAGTTTCATATTCTATCGTTTTCATGAAATGCTTTCCACTCTATAAAATGTCAATTTTACTTCAATATAAAAGTGATTTTTCCCAGAATCTTTGTGGAGAAGTGATGCTTCAGGAAGATGTAATGTGCTGTACCCCAGGCTGAGGAGCAAAGTTAATGGGGCAACCAAAAGCCCTCCAATTGTACATTGTGCAGCTCTACCCTTATTCACATTTTGTTATAAAAATGTTACAACAAGCCAAGTGCAGTGGCACATGCCTGTAGTCCCGGCTACTCGGGAGGCTGGGGCAAGAGGATTGCTTGAGCTTAAGAGTTCAAGACCAGCCTGGGCAATACAGCAAGACCCTGTCTCAAAAAAAAAAAAGTTAAAAATGTGTCTCATCAATACTAAAGGAAAGGTAAGAAAAATAAAACCCATCCTCCTGTGGATTTGAGCTGCCACGTTTAGTATAGTGGATGCTTTTACTATTCAAAAGGGAAATCTCCCTTGACTCCCAAGTACCCTGACAGCCTCAGTAGCCTTTGGACATACGCAGAATTCCATTTCGTGCTGTACACTTTGTATTACAGTTTTATTATATTATTTCGTGTAATCCTCCTTTTGTAAATTAACACAGTACAGGCCTTCTCTGTTGCTCAGAGTCAGAACTAAGTTGCAGATCTGACACATCCACAGTTCTGCCAGGCTTCTCAGAGACACCAGCACAGGCCAGAAGGGAGCTCAGAAAGGAGCTAGGATTTACAGGGTGATTAAAGGAGAAACCAGGGGACAGAGAGCAGAAGTCACTTGACCCAGAACATTCAAAGAGACAGCTAGCTTTTTTAATTGCCAATTATTTAATTAGTCAGGTGTGAAAAAACATCGTTCAGAAGGTAATATCTCTGTTTTCATCTCTCTGTTTGCAAAGAACTGGAAGTCCAACAGATAAAAGCCCAAGTCAAAACTGGTCAAAAATTAAAACTGTTTTGGGAACTGCATAGAATCCTCCCAACCCTGGCTGGTCCCACCGTGTTTAACCAGCATGTACTGACTTGGTATTTTGCATGAGGACTAAGAAATTTGTTTATGCTGCACATTCAATATGCAGAAGCTGCACATTTTGCGTTACATCATGTTTCCTAAAAACATTTTTAGACTCTGCTGTCATTTCTGCAAGCTGATGTTGTGGGTGTGGCGGGGACAGTGTGCTTCGTGTTTTTTAGTGAAGCTGAATTTTGATCCCTACCCATAATGTTTGCTTTCTGGTGAAAATAACTTGGTGATGCCCGATCACTAATGCAGGGCAGGTCTGTCATTCATTGCTTGGGAGCACACTGGGCACCTGGCAGACATCCTTCCCACGTTCAAGGTTAAAGAAATCAAGGCTCGGTGAGGTTAAATCATTTGCCCAAGGTCACCTGTCTTATAAAGAATGCTGTGCTATTTTTTTCCCATCAGTCTATTCTTTCAGCTAAAACCCAGCTTCTTTATTTAAGGGGAAAAACAAAGTGAGGCGAGTGAAGACCATTTATGACTGCCAGGCAGACAACGATGACGAGCTCACATTCATCGAGGGAGAAGTGATTGTCGTCACGGGGGAAGAGGACCAGGAGTGGTGGGTATGTGCCTGTTTCATTCGTTCATTTGTTCGGCGTTCCCTGGCAGGCACGGTGCTGGGTCCTGCAGACACTGCAGTGAGTCAGGGAGCGTCCTCGAGCACAGGCGCCTGCCAGCTGCATCGCTCACCCAACCATTCACAAATGCCGTTTGCATTGATATCCTCCGTCACTGACACAGCTAGAAAAACAGCCGTGGTGCTTTGAAAACGGGTCAAGAAAATTAACATTTGTATGTGCTTTACCCCATGGTGTCATACAACAGTATTGTGAGTTATAAGTATTTTCTAATTTTTCAGATATAAAAAAGTTGAGCGTGTTGCCTGTGACCACAGCCAGTAAGCAGGCCAGGTCCGGTTTCTGACTTGGCTCTGATTCTAAAGCCATATGCTTTGCTCACCATTCCACACTGTCCCCAGGCTAGCAGTCAGAGGCCCAAGTTCCTCTTCAGGCTCAGCAGCTTACAAGCACCCAGTCCTCAGGCTCAGTCCTGAATCTGGTCTATAGTTCTCTCTTTGTAAAGGGGGGCCATGATACCTTCCTCGTGTGATTTTAGAAGATTAAATTAGAGTATCTATGAAAATTCCTTTTACATTAAAACCTCGCTGCCCCGGTATCAGGAAGGAAAAATATCAGTGTCCTCCCCATGGTGGCTGTTTGGAGATCGGAGGCCCCTGTAGATACCCACGCTGTAAGGGCAGCCCACACATCTGCTGCTGTTCAGGCTGCCCAGGGAGTAGGTCTCCCCATGGGACCTGCCAGCCCGAGGTGCAGTGGACAGCCAGCCCATTACTCTGTCCGCATCGTCACTTCCCAACATCAGCAAGAAAAATTCCCCTTCCGTGGCAAGCCTGAGCCCTCTCCTCCCAAGAGGGACTCAGTTCTGCCTGCTGGGAAAGGACCTGTAGTTTACAGTTGGGTCAGCAGAACCTGCTACTGCCCCAAAACACCCACGCACAACATATACACATGTGTACACGCATGCATGCATATGTGCATGCTCACGTTTGGCTTTTTTCCTTCGGGCCTTCAGACAGCGACTTCAGATTCTTGATCACAGCTTTAAGGGTTTTGCTTGGACTGAAGTAGTAGTTCTCAACTGGGGGCAATTTTCGTTCTAATTTAGGTCATTAGAAAATGTTTGCAGGTACCCATGGCTCACAGGCTTATGTAGCAGACAATAAAATTGCCTTAGGCCACCATCACTCTCAACCTTTCATGATATTCTTTCTCCATAGTGACTAGAAAACAAGTGATTGGTACCTAGGAGCCCTTCCCATATATTTTTTTCTTCTTTTAACGTATCACATAAGCCCAGGAAGAAGGGATTTTTTTTTAGCCCCATTTTACAGATAAGCAGCTTATTAGCAAGGATTGTCTGAGGTCACCCACCTGGAAAGGCAGCCAAGCACCATGGTTCAGAACTAGGACTCTGGAGTCGGAAGCCTGTGTGAGACTGGGGGCAGGTTCGTCCACGCCTCTGGGCCGCTGTCCCCTTGTCTGTAACAAGAGGATCGTAAGAAATACATACCTTATGGGGTTGCTGTGTGGGTGCAGTGAGATCCGTGCGGAAGTGCTGAGCATATTGTAAGTTCTGTCATTTGCTGTTTCGTTATATATACTTGATGATCCTTACACTCTCTCTCGTTCACTGAAAGGTGGGGGCTAGGCCTGGGGTTCCATCCCAGGGCTGTGGGCAGACTCTGGGCCGGGCTCTCACCTACTGGGCTTGTCACAGGGCAGCTGCCTGCTGCCTCCAGCCTCACTGCTCTCTTTTCTCCTTGCAGATTGGGCACATTGAAGGACAGCCTGAAAGGAAGGGAGTCTTTCCAGTGTCCTTTGTTCACATCCTGTCCGACTAGCAAAAAGCAGAACTTCAAGATTGTCCACATCCTTCATGCCAGACTGCTGCCTCCATGTAATCCTGTGCACAATGTGTAAATAGCTGCTGTTACAGAATAAGAAACTCATGGAAGGGCCACCTCAGGAGGGAATATAGTATGTATTGTAAATATCCTGTGTCTTCTGCCTTCGCCAGTATTAGGGTAGCCTTGGGACCCGGCGCGCCTTACTGGTTTGCCAAAGCCATCCTTGGCGTCTAGCACTTAAATCTCTCTATCTATGCTGTTTCACAAGCAAACAAACAAAAAAGTATAGGAACTGCTGGCTTTGCAAATAGAAGTGGTCTCCAGCAACCGTTGAAAGGCATAGAATTGACTCTCTGTTCCTAACAATGCAGTATTCTCAATTGTGTTACTGAAAATGCAACATTAGCAAAGAGGTGGGTTCTGTTTTCCAGGTGAAACTTTTAGCTCCATGACAGACCAGCCTGTAGTTATCTGTGTACACAGTTTACAGCTACAAAAACCTACTTTGGTATTTATTACAGAAGAGTGCTCTGTTAAATGTAAGTGTTATTCCTTCAGCAAAATATTCACTGACCCAAAACTCTTTGTGGCATTTTACAATGCACACAGCCTCATGCAAGTTTAGACAGACAAGTGGATTCATACTGTCTTAATGATGGTGAGTGCCCACCCCTGAGATATTACCTCATTATGCAAAAATAACATATCCTTCATGACTATTTTGACAAAAGTTTAAAACATGTCTGATGAAGTTCAATGTTCAGGAACCAAGGACTGCCAGAAAATATTAGCCTCTACATTATGCATGCATTTAGAAGCTTACCTGAAATCTGCCTTTTATAAAGGAATAGTATGGATAAGTGGAACTGTACATTTTTTAGACTTGATTGCCATTAAAGCAGAAATTATAAGGTTGCAACAATATTTGTTTCTAGTCATTTGGCTTTCTCAAGAGTATGGATTTACATATCGTATCATGAATCAGCATCCCTCAAATGCGTTGAAGCATCTAATGCATCAATTTTAAATTATTTTCTTAGTTTTCTTCTTGGATAAATTTAAACTTTTAAAAGATTATTCAAGATGAATTTAAGTCAGCCCTTCACACAGTTTCCCTACTGTAGAATCCAGGTGCTGAAACCAAGCTTTTCTTTTTCCATGCTCTTTAGTAAACCCCAGTTATAGATAAGTTTTCCCATCTTAAGTTCTGTTCAATAGACACGTCACCTTCAAGTCAATTCATAACCAAGTTTTTGAACGCTGCTATGAATTGCACTGTGAAAAGCACTCTCTCTCTCCCTCTCATTTTTCTTTTCATCCCAGCCGCGTTTATCAGATCATTAAGAACATTGTGAGTATTTCAGTCTTTTACACAGTCTGAATTCTGGAAAAGAATACAATGGTTGTACTCCACAGCCAGTGGAACTGTCTGATTCCGAGGCTCATGTGTCGTTCTGGCATGACATTTGCTTAAATTGCTATTTTGGCAACAGCACAGAAAACTAATATTTTTAAGCAGAGAATCTTGGCAATGAGTGAGAAATGTTAACTTCACAGAAGCACAACTCCCAACCAAACCCTTAGGAAAAGCCCTCTTTCATAGAGTCACAGTGCTCAGTGAATATTAATTTAGTTCTGCTTAAGTGGTTACTATGAAAACTTTGAATAGCCACCTAATAAATAAACCTTGCATGACAAACCTGCAAAATATTTTATCAGCTGTTATTGGAAAGTGATTTTAAGCAATTGTTTCCTCAGTATCAGGGCACATGTGAATTCCCACACCAAACCGAGGGCAGGAGGAACCAGTCGACTGCTGGTGTGTGGCTGGCGGCTTTACCAGCCTCAGTGTTGAAGCCACACTGGGGTCAGAACAGAAGTCGTCATCTGAGGTTGCTCAGTGTCCCGTTTCTTTCATTTACACGTTTTAAGTTGCATTAAAGAGCTATTCGTTTTTGTGGCCTAGACTATTTTCAACTGATCTCAAAATAAACTGTTTTTTTAAAAAAACACAAAAGCTGCATGTCTAAAGTTACATGGAGTCAGTATCTATTCTTCTTCCCCTTTTGCAGCAACTTACACAAATGCATTTTTAATAACCTTTTTTCTGGGGTTTTTTTTTGTTTGTTTTCCATCAGGAATTTGAGTTCTCTCTAATCCAGCTTACTATGGGACCATAGGAAGACTAGGTAGAAATACCTTTGGTGATCTTGTTGAGTTTAAATCTGATCTTGTTCTTAAACTCAGTGAGCCACTATCTGCAATTTTGTACATGATATAGTATTTTGAAGGTATTGAACCTTATGAAAAAAATAGCAAATTAGGTTTTTTTTCCTGCAGAGGGGAAAGTTGTGTTCTGCAAATAGTGTGTGTCTTATTTTACTGTTGAACAGCAATTGCTATTTATTTTTTTATTGCCTAGAACTTCAACATGTTGTATAGGAATCCCGTAGTGCCACCAGTTAAATTCAAATTCTCATCTGGATGTTACCATCAAACATCAGTACACTTGTCATTTCACATGTATTTAATGTGACAGTTTTTCAGTACTGTATGTGTTAATTTCTACTTTTTTTAATATTTAAAATTGCTTTTAAATAAACATATTCTCAGTTGATCCCAAACATCTGAAATCAGGCCATTTTGTGAGTTGTCCACTATTCTGACTGGAGAAAAATCCAGGCTTCATTTGGCTGTGCTTTGGGGGTATATATAACACAAACCACTCCAACACCTATGTCAAAGCTCACTGGACTCAAAAAATGTGCGGTGCTTGCCCAGCCTACAAACTGTGGATCTTTGGTCCCCTCCACGCCCACCTCTGCTGCACCCACTTCTGCTGCTGTCGACGTGAGAAGAGGGGGACGTCTGCCTGAGTCAAGGGTGACATGTTACCACGTTGACAGTACTTAGTGCCCAGCACAGACTGAGCGCCACGTGTTTGCTTTCGCCACATAGCTGTTGTGTCTCCTGCTGCCACGCAGTGGAGCAGCCCCCGGCCCAGGTGCTGCCTACATGGCCTCCCTGGGTCCTTAGCAAGCCCATGAGAGGCATGAACCTCTCAGCTTTACAGAACTTGAAATGAGGCTCAGAGATGTTCATTCATGTGCAAGAGATTCATGGCTTATAAATCACTCAGGCGGGAGTCCACGCACGAGGGGTTCTGGCTCCAAGGCCATCCTCGGGATTTGCACCACGTGGAAGACAGTCGTTGCTACAGAGTTCTAGCCAGAGAGAAACGCAGCAGTGGAAAGAAGACTGAGACTACGGCATGGAAGGTTCTGAAGTGTTGGTCTCAGCGTTCCTTCTGTTTTCCTCATGCAAGTTGGTAGATCTAATAATGCCTGTTCACGCACCAAGACGAGAGGAACCCTACAAACCGCTGTGCTGCCAGGGAAAATGGGCTTTGGCATGGAAGTCAGTGACTTTCTATCAGGATATTTTGGGGCGAGACAGACAGTGATTGGGATAATCCGGGCAAAGGGGCACCAGCTTTCCATCTGGCTACAATGTGTCACACATAGTTTTAAACCTGGAACGGTCTGTTTGGAACTGATGACTCACCCCCACTGAAAGCCCCTCCGGTATCCACCTGCCCCGATAGCCCTGTCTCCCCAGTGGCGCTTGCTCCCCTCCCTCCGCCCGGGTCCCTGAGCACCTTCTGTGGTCGGTCTTCCCTGAGGCAAACGACGTCGCTAGCACGTTCTCAGATGGAGCAATCAGCTCACAGAGCTGAGGGACCTGCTCGGGGTCACAGGGAGTGATGGGCCGCAGTGTGGACCCAGGTCTCTGTGGCCTCAGCAACAGTCCCCTCCCTCCCCATCCTGCTTTGTTCTCCCCTAGCCTTGTGCCCGCTTACCCCATTTGTTTTTTAATTAAGTCTTCCCACCCCCAGAATGTGCGTATTAGGATAATTCCACCTATCGTACTTTGCGCCTCCTCCCCAAATGTCCTCTCTGTCCTGAATGGGAATCTTTGACTCTCCCAGTTGCGGGCTCTGCAGGCAACTTGGAGGAAATGGGCTCACTGCGCCCGCAGGCGTGCCCCGGCTGAGCAGGCGTCCACTCCCACAGTGGAGAGCCGAACAGACACGTTGGGCTCGGCCTCTGCAGCCAGCAGCCTGGGATGAAGTGAAGCCAACTAAATGAGTTACCTTACAGGTAAGCATCTGAGGCTCGTCTGTTCCACAAACATTCCCTTTGTGTCAAGACAGCCCCACCTTCTCTGTCCCTGAGAAGCTTACAGGCTGGGGAGGGGACGGGTGAGTAGTGATGACTCTGGGGCTCACCTGGCAGAGGGCGCCTAGAGGAGGAGAGGTCGCTCGTCCCAAAGGCCTGCACAGATTGAGCTTGTGCAAAAGCTGGTGGGGGAACAGGGTGGCACCCTTGACACAGCTGGAGCAGGCAGGACACGGCAGACAGGCGGGGCCGAGCCCACAGTAGTCTGCGCTGTGCTAAAGAGCACGGTCCCCGCACCCCACGGAGGCAGATCCCATCACCACGGACAGCTCACCTGTATGGAGGGCTTCGCGTGGGCGGGGCGCGCCACGGGCTCTGTCATCACGGCGGTTCTCAGCAGCACTATGAAGCAGGAACTGTTATTTCCCCATTTACAGATTAGGAGACTGGTGCTCAGAGAGGTTACGTCATAACTTGCCAAAAGGGAAGAGCAGAGGCCAGAAATTTGAACCCTGATGTCAGGGTTCCACCCGTGCGGCTCCTGGCTATTCCCCTTTGCTGCCTCGTGGCTGCTGCTGTGTTCCCTGCTGCCCCTCTGCAGAGAGGCTGGGTCAGAGCTGCCCCCACCCTCGACCAACAGGGCAGCCCCAGGGAAGGGTCAGCCATGAAGTGAAATGAAGTTCCCGATTCAGGGGTTCAGGCCTTAGCCAGAAGAGCCCCACAGTGAGCACTTCCTGGACAGTCGCGGTGCACGTGGGAGCCAGAGGTCGAACTGGCACTCGGCATCCTGGTGCACGCAGAGGGTGAGCGAGGAGAATGCGTCTGTCTGTGAGATGAGCCCTGTGTGCAAATGCCGAACATACCAGCTCCTGAAAACAGGAATTAAAGCTAAACACAGTTAAAGATAAACACAGTTGTTTTGCAAAAATATTACCACAAAGCAAACCCTAGAGTGAGGCTCAGGAGGCCAAAACTTTGACCTTCTGCAAAACCACCAAGGAAGAAGCCTTCTTTGACTTCACCCTTCAACAGAATTTAAAACTTCACTTTATAGCTCCAAGCAAATTTGAGGGCAAGAGATGGCAAAGATGTCACCTGTACATCAGCATAAATGTCTATTAGGGCCAAGTTGTCACATTTTGGCCAGCATCACCTGGGGTGCTCAGTGCCTGGAGATTCTGAATCATTCTAAGCCTCAGGAGAGGCCCAGGAATCTGCATTTAAACAGGTGATTTCCATGCACCACCAGGAGACTTGGGTCACTCCTGGACCACCTGTGGTCCCTGAGAATCCACAATTGACACCAAAAGGGAGGATGGTTATCCAGAGTCCTGAACCTCCCTGCAGGGCCCCTTATAACCGAGAGACCCCTCATCATGGGCTCAGCACTTAGGGAGCTACAGCTGTCATTTCCTTGCTATACTAAGGTGGGGTGAAAAGGACACAGGAATTGGAGTTTGGCAGACCTAGTTCACCCTCTGCTTCGGCCACTTACCAGCAAATGTGTGCGACAGACGTCTGCTGAGAAGCCGATGTGTGAACGGCCCCTTTACAACCTCAGACACGTTGCTTAAGCTCTGAGCCTCAAGTTTCCTGAGATGTGTCCCTTAGCTCGGGAGGTTGTGTGCTCAAAAGTGGAACAGTGCTTGCTAACTTGCCTGGCGCTACGTGCCCACCTCTGAAAAGCTAGAAGCTCATTTTCCCAGGCTTAGCCATTGGCTTCTTCGGTCCAGTGTGGTGAACCGAGATGCAGGGCCTGGTGCCTTCCATCACCTGCAGCGTAGCTTCTGCCCATCCCCAAGGGTGGCAGGTTGGTGGCTTGGCTGGGCTGGCCATGACCATTTGTTACCTGGGCCCAGAGGGACCGGATGGGGGAGGGTAATTTGGGATCAGGAAAACATGGGTACTGAGCCTTAGTCTCTCCAAGCCTCAGTTTCTTCCTCTGCCCAAAATGGGATAATGGTCTTAGTATCATAGAATTATTGATAGTATGTGAATTAATGAAATAATTAATGAGGTGGTGAATGTAAAGTGCTTAGCCTGGTGCCTAATACACTGTAGCATGAAATAATAATTATTAGCACTCACCCCTTCAAAAATGATAAGAACTTTGAATCTCCTGGCCTTCCCCAATGACAAGTGAGAAATTAGAGACATAAACCTACTTAGTGCAAGACCTGCAGTTGGTGCAAGAAATACTAAGTATTTCTTGAATGAGTGAGCACAGACCTGTCAAAAATAACGAGAAGAGCACCCACTGTTGACAGGGGTGGGCAGGGATCACCCAGCTGCTCTCCTTTCAAACTCATGGCCAGCACCCACCCCCACCAAGGGGCAAAGCCAGGATCCCTGATCGTGTTTCCTCTACCCACTTTCACTGCACATTGCTGACTCCCACCCAGTGAGCAGCCTGCTGGACAATGGACCTCTTTTTATGGTGCATTAAGCTGTGGAACAAAGATTCACAAGAATACATTGTCTGAATGTGCAAGCTTAGTTCCTGCTCAGCTGGAACCACTTAGAAAACTCAGACACCAGGACTCCCCTGGCCGGCTCCACCTCCAATTACCCGTCAACTACCCTATCTGCACTCGCTTTATGGCCCTGCCACCCTAAGTAAGCTCTAGAGCTGAAGGAGCAACGAAAACACCCACGCTTGCCCTTCCAGACTAGTTCCAGTGGCCTGGGGTTAACTTTCCCACCCAAAGCCTAGGCCCAGTCCAGTGTGTGCCAAAGTGGAAGAGGCCAGGGTGGAAACCCAGCTTGCAAGGAGAGGGAAGTTAAGGGGTTCAGGCAGGAGGCAGATACCAGCGAAGAGTCAAAGT